AGAAACAGAGGAAAACAAAAGAATGGGAAAGACTAGAGATCTCTTCAAGAAAATTAGAGATACCAAGGGAACATTTCATGCAAAGATGGGATCAATAAAGGACAGAAATGTTATGGTTAGAAATGCTTCTAACAGAAGCAGAAGATATTAAGAAGAGGTGGCAAGAATACACAGAAGAACTGTGCAAAAAAAGATCTTCATGACCCAGATAATCACGATGGTGTGATCACTCACCTAGAGCCAGACATCCTGGAATGCAAAGTCAAGTGGGCCTTAGGAAGCATCACTATGAACAAAGCTAGTGGAGGTGATGGAATTCCAGTTGAGCTATTTCAAATCCCAAGAGGATGCTGTGAAAGTGCTGCACTCAATATGCCAGCAAATTTGGAAAACTCAGCAGTGGCCACAGGACTGGAAAAGATCAGTTTTCATTCCAGTCCCAAAGAAAGGCAATGCAAAAGAATGCTCAAACTACCACACAATTGTACTTATCTCACACGCTAGCAAAGTAATGCTCAAAATTCTCCAAGCCAGGCTTCAATAGTATGTGAACTGTGAACTTCCCGATGTTTGAGTTGGATTTAGAAAAGGCAGAGCAACCAGAGATCAAATTGCCAACATCCAATGGATCATCAAAAAAGTGAGAGTTCCAGAAAAACATCTACTTCTGCATTATTGGCTATGCCAAAGTCTTTGACTGTGTGGGTCACAACAAACTGTGGAAAATTCTTAAGAGATGGGAATACCCGACCACCTGACCTGCCTCCTGAGAAATCTGTATGCAAGTCAAGAAGCAATAGTTTGAACAACTAGACATGGAACATCAGACTGGTTCCAAATCAGGAAATGTACTGGTTTCAGTACGTCAAGGCTGTACATTGTCACCCTGATTATATAACTTATATGCAGAGTGTATCATGAGAAATGTTGGACTGTATGAAGCACAAGCTGGAATCAAGACTGCCAGGAGAAATATCAATAACCTCAGATATGCAGATGACTCCACACTTATGGCAGAAAGCAAAGAAGAACTAAAGAGCCTCCTGATGAAAGTGAAAGAGGAGAGTGAAAAAGTTGGCTTAAAACTCAACATTCAGAAAACTAAGATCAGGTCCCATCACTTCATGGCAAATAGATGGGGAAACAATGGAAACAGTGAGAGACTTTATTTTTGGGGGGTACAAAATCACTATAGATGGTGACTGCAGTCATGAAATTAAAAGACGCTTACTCCTTGGAAGAAATGTTATGACCAACCTAGACAACATATTAAAAAGCAGAGATACTACTTTGCCAACAAAGGTCCGTCTAGTCAAAGCTATGGTTTTTCCAGTAGTCATGAATGGATGTGAGAGTTGGACTACAAAGAAAGCTGAACACTGAAAAACTGATGCTTTTGAACTGTGGTGTTGGAGAAGACTGTTGAGAGTCCCTTGGACTGCAAGGAGGTCCAACTAGTCTGTCCTAAAGGAAATCAGTCCTGAATATTCATTGGAAGGACTGATGCTAAAGCTGAAACTCCAATACTTTGGCCACTTGATGTGAAGAACTGACTCATTTGAAAAGACCCTGATGCTGGGAAAGACTGAAGGCAGGAGAAGACAGAGAATGAGATGGTTGGATGGCATCACTGACTCACTGGACATGAGTTTGAGTAAACTCTGGGAGTTGGTGATGGAGAGGGAGACCTGGCATGCTGCAGTCTATGGGGTTGCAAAGAGTCAGACTTGATTGAGTGAATGAACTGAATTGATAAATGGTTCTGGTGTCTGGTCACTTCTATCAGCTACTTGAAGGGGACTCCTGTTCATCATTATATTCCCTTCAGTCTCAAGAATAGCAGGTCACCAAAATTTATATACCCTATGCACATTTACTTTGTATAGTGCATGGCATGTACTATACTCCTGACAAGCATTTGCTAAATATGATACAAAGTTACCAATAAATAGCTATTGAAAGAAACAGGCCAAAATTATTTAAAAGCAGAGAGAAAAGTCCATGTATGTTCTTTATTCAAATAGTTTAATTCAAACAATTTGGAATGTAAAAGTATTTTCTTGTATAAAAAGCAGATCAGGCTCCCCCCACGCAAAAATCAGCAATCTTTAGTTAAGCAAAAAATTGGCAGTTTATGAGTAGCTCAATTAGATGCTTGAATGAATAGCTAAACCAGCTGCTGATACATGTATGCAATTCCATCTGTGACTTCAGAGATTAAGTAAGAAAAAATGGATCCCATTCTTTTGTACCCAGTGAAAGGTAAGAGTACCTTGTCCTAATCTTTTCCCCAACACCTCCAAAAATAATCCTTGCTCACAAAGAAAGAAGCCTAAGAAAAATCTGTTTAAGCTAAACAGATTTAACTCGAGGCAACTCTGAAATACACAAAAACCAAATGTCAGCCTGTAGTCTACCCTCTGTTCTCATGGCACCTGAAATTAATGGCTTGGGTGTTGGCGTAGGTAACACTTGGCCTGTACGTTGAGGTAGTCACTAAAAAGAAATTCTGGGTACAATATTCTATTTCAAAAATGGATATATTTTCTGCAGATTTAGTAATACAGTTTTAGAGCTGACAGTTTACAGATCAACTACTTCATTCCCCACCCTAACTTTACAGATGAGAAACCTCAGAGGAGTTAAATGACTTACCCATGGTTATAAAACTACTCACACAGTGGCAGCATCAGGACTGGAATCCAAATCTCTTGTCTTCCAGCCCAGTGTTTTCCCCCATTATAATACAGTAATTTCTCAAACAAGATTAATCACACTCAATGGAACTTGCTCTTAATCACAAACCATGGGTCAAGTTTTTAAGTCAAACTTGCTTCTTGGTCTAGCTTCATGTAACTCTGTGGCAAGATTTACCAGTCAGGCTACTAAATCTAGGCTTATGCTGGCCAAGTTTTATTTTCATATCCAGAACCTGGCCAAAGGTTGGCAAATAAGACTTCTTATATAATAATGCCTAGAGCAATGTCACCTGCAGCAGTTGGCATTATCAAATTTTTAGCAAGTAGAGCCAACACTTTGAGAACCCATAGGCAACTTTTCAAGTAGTGTAGTCGCGTATCAAAGCACCTTTGGAAGGACAACAGAACAGATGTAACCTTTGAATGAGTGTTGAGGAAACAGGCATTTAACCTGGCACAGAACTGTGTTCAGTACCCGGGCACTTTAAAAATCCCCTGGAGACGGAGAAGACATGCATAGCATGGTAGCACATACCTCTTAATCATCATTCAGTACAAGGCAGTTCTTCAGATTTCACGCATGACCCAAATTCACATTTAGATGAGATCAATGGAGAAAAAAAATCACCCTGTAATAGTAGACCAATAATAGGTATAGTAATAGTTGGAGGACAAAACACAAATGTCAAGGAACAGGTTGCCTTATCCCATTTACGTTTCACTTTCTGCAGCAGTCAAGGTGGTGTGGGCTCTATTTCTTCAGCAGGTCAAATGACTGAACAGGGCTGCAAATGTCAAAGACAATGATCAACTCCTCATCAAGCAAAAGTTACTTGGGACATGGTCACTTATTATCACAGCATGACTACAATTCTACTCGACAGAGATGGCTTCTTAGGTGTTTATTACTTCACTATAAAGAAACAGGAATTTGGGAGGGTTGCTTATATTTAAAAGAGGATGAGTTGATTGAAGAAAGTTGCAAACTTAAAAAAAAAACAACCAAAACACTTCTCTAGATAGTTGCTGATGGCTGGAAATGTCACAAATCTCCAGGAGTACTGGATTCTAGAAAAGCTGAATCCACTCTCAAAATCCATTTTAAAAACCTAAGTATAAAATGCATGCTAAAACGAGAAAAAAAAATCATAGGTAATTTGTGACTGTTGCTTGTTATACTTTTTATAAGTAATACTGGCCATGTTGGAAAGTCCTTAACATTTGCATTTGGAAAATAATTTTAAAATAAAATAATCTACATGATTCTCACACATCATTATAAAAAATGTTAACAATTCACTATTTTCAATAAAGCAGAACAAAATAAGTTAGAAACTGCCTACTGAAGATCTAACCAATACTACATTCTATAACCTAAGGTGCACTAAGTTTTGGCAAAATTATATAATTTTAATTTAAATTGTTCATGCAACTTTGAAAAAAGGATCAAAAGTACTATATATGGAATTCCACATATTTTGGTAATATATGTGATACTTTGTTAATAAAATGAAAAATTAAAGTCAACCAATAAAAAGGTGACAAAAAGGATAAAAATCTATCATTATATCAGTATTTAATTAAATGTAAAACTGAAAACTGGGATTCCTTCACTGCATATCACTTAAGGATAAGATGTTTATTTAACCAAAACAAGACATTGTGAGAATGATGGGTCACTTACAAACGTACTGAAATTTTTTAATGAGAAAAACTATTAAAAAACTGATAATTAAAAATTTTTAACTGTGCCAGACAGTAAAATATGTTTCAAAATTTCTGATAAAAATGTTTGCTTTTACTTTGCATACCGCAGGAGGACCTCAAAGAAAAATGTAGCAATTAAGTTTGGAAAATCTATAAAAGAGACTTTTACTTTTAGAATAAACATTTTTTCCCTTTCCTAAAATGTGTACTCAAGAAGCATGTTTATAAATTTCACTGAAGAAAGCATTATATTTTTAATAATGTGACAAATCTACTCCATCAAGTGGTTCTCTTATAAAGGTAATGTTATATCACACTGCAGTCAACTACAAAACCAAAGATAGCAAAATTCAAATTTAGAGAACACGTTTTTAAAGGAAGCCTATTTAAAGTCTGTAACATTTAAAAGGTTCTCACTGCCCCAAATATGTTTTACAAAAATATAGTTTCATTGGTTTCATGAAATATGAACAAGCCTACTACTCTCTAACATTTAGAGTAAATGATTGAACAGTCGATGCAAAGTGGATTACTAAATAAACTGAAACTCAAGGAGTCAGTATTTCTCATAAAAATAAATTAAATTACAATACATCATGGTCTTGGTTGTCCAATTCTATTGTTAGTTCCACATCTACTTGGGACATTTGTAAAACCAGTCCTGAATCCTTGGGTTGCTCCAATGCCTGGAACTCCAAGTCCTTGATTAAGTACGCTGCTATAAGGTGCGTGTCCATGATTAAGACCTAAACCATAAGGTCTTGTTTGCGTATTTAGAAGAATAACTGGGCTCACATTTTTTCCAGGTGTGTTAAATGAAAATTCTGGAGGTGGACTACTAGGTTTAGCTGGAGTTGATGTGACAGGGTTTGAATCATCAGTACCCTTCAGAGGAGGCATTGGGATTACATGATGATCTGAAAAGTTTAGGACATTGGCTGCAACAGGCCCAGACAGTAAGGCAGGCCTGATCCAATCATCCTTGAAAATCTGAACAGTCAGAGTAGATACAAGCGTGTACAGCCTGTTGGTCACATGAGCAAGAACCATTTGTTCATTGGCATCTCGTCGAATTCTCACGTGAACTGATCCAGCCTAAAAGGGACAAAATCATAAGAAAAAGACTGCTTAGAATTATACTACTGAAAATTCCATTAGAAACAAACATTTTATTGATATTCCTTGAAAACTACTTTAGTAGTAATTGTTGATGCAAAGAGTTAATAACATAATTTATGACTCTAAATCCATGTAGGAGGAAGGCAGATACATAGCAATAGAAGGCAGAACACAAATGAAGTATATGGAAAAATGCACTGAAAGGGCAGAGAAGATAGCTATTAATTCCAGTTGAGGAAGACTTCAAAAGAAGATGGCATCTGATCTAGGTCTGGTGATTAAATGAAATCTCAAAAGGTAGAGACAGGCGTTCTAAGATGGGGCAATAGCAGTTGAAAACATGGCATGTTTGGGCAACAATGAGCAACATTACTATATAAAAGAAGTACAGTATTTCAGGGTGTAGAAAAGGAATGAAAGAGAAAAGACAGGAAGCAAAGGGGAGGAAAGGAGGAAGCAAATAAAGAAAGGAAGAACGTAAAGAAGAAAGTAAGTTTAGGTAATAAAGTTAAAAAGAAAGGCTAGCTGTGGGGTTCTAAAAATCATGAATAAGGAGTTTTAGTTGCAGCAATCCAACAGAAGTAAGATGATCAGAGTTCAGAAAAATTACAGTTATGGATAACTGCTAATTATTTAGGAATTTACTAAAACAGTCTAGGTTAGCAAGGGAGAGGCCAAGATATAGTGGGACTACAGAGGGACAAATGATTTCATGATATTCCAGGGGTTAGAAGTGGGAGACTTCGATTTTCAACTGGATATAATAATAAATGAAGGAGATGAACTTATCAAAAGACAATCTCAAGGTTTTTAGCCTAGGTTACCAGGAGGATAAAGAGCCCAGGCATTAGAATGATGGTCAGAAGTATGTTTCCTAACTTGATAAAATGGTCATTACACATCTTGCTTTCAAAAGATAATAAAATAGTAGGTACAATAATGATCATATTTTGATTAAAACAAACAAAACAAAAATATCAAGAATGTTATCATATGATCATCTCAATAGATGCATAAAAAGCATTTGACAAAATTCAACATCCATTCATGATAAAAACTCTAGACAAAGTTGGTATAGAGGGAACATACATCAGCACAATAAGGGCCATTTATGACAAACATGAGGGCTTCCCGGGCAGTTCAATGGTAAAGAATCCACCTGCCAATGCAGGACAGAGGAGATGTCAGTTCAGTCCCTGGGTCCGCAAGATCCCCTGGAGAAGGAAATGGCCACCCACTCCAAAATTCTTGCCTGGGAAATTCCGTGAACAGAAGAGCCTGGTGAGCTATAGTTCTCAGGGTTGTAAAGAGTCTGACATGAGTGAGTGACTGAGTATGCAGACATGCATGACAAACACACAACTAACATCATATTCAATGATGAAAAGCTAAAAGCTTTTCCTCTAAGATCAGAACAAGACGAGGATGTCCACTCTTGCCACTTGTATTTAACATAGTACTGTAAGTACTAGCCACAGCAATCAGAGGAGAGTAAGAATAAGAGGCATCCAAAATGGAAGAGAGGAAGTAAAATCATTACTGTTTGCAGAAGACATGATAATATATATAGAAAATCCTAAAGAGTACACAAAAAACTATTAGAATAAATGAATTCAAAGTTTCATGATATAAAGCTAATATATAGAAATCTGCTGCATTTCTATATACTAAAATGAACTATCAAAAAGGAAAATCAAGAAAATTGTATTTACAATGGAATCTAAAAGAGCAAAATATCTAGGAATTAATTTAACCAAGAAGGTAAAAGACACGTATTCTGAAACTACAAGAGTGATGATACTAATGAATGGAAAGATAGTTTGTGTTCATGGACTGGATGAATTAATATTGCTAAAATGTCCACACTACGCAAAGCACATTCAGCCATGACATTTTTCACAGAACTAGAAGAAATAATCCCATATTTTATGTGGAACCACAAAAGACCCCAAATAGCCAAAGCAATCTTGAGAAAGAATAACAAAGGTATTATGCCCCCTGCCTTCAAACTGTTAAGTAGCTAGAATAGGAAAAAGGAGTCCAAAATAGCAGTGGCCAAAAAACAAAGAAAGGAAAAAGCCCACAAAAATAGAACAAAGGAAGGTCCAAGGACAGGAGTGAGAACCTCAGACGAGACAAACAGCCCTCCTGGCTAGCCCAATTTACATAGGGCAGGCTCAGCAGGAAGAGAAAAAAACATAAAAACAGGAGCCAAAATTGAGCCCCTTTCTTCTTTTGGGTCGGCCCGCCCTCACACCTCAAGGATGTGTTTCCCTTTGCGTGCCAAATAAAACTGAGCTGTAGCCAAGCTGTAACACTGGTCCGCCATTTAAACTGAGCTGTAACTGAGCTGAAACACAGGTATGCTGCTTCAAATTTTTGCTGTGGCGAGACAGAACCGAGGAAATTATATACTCCTCCAACATATCTGGCTCCATGACTTGGATTTAACTCGGCTGAAACAATCTTGGCTAGGCCCCCGCAAGGCAGAGGCCAAGCACAGCAGAAGCCCAACTTGGCGAAAGCTCCCGTGATGGAAGCTGAACAGGAAGAACACCCAGCACAGTGGCAGTGACAAGAAGCCTAGCATGCTGGAAACCAGGACAGCAAAAATAAGCTCGGCAGAAAGATCATGCAGCTCAGTCTCAGATTTCAGAAGACCTCCGGTTAAGGTAGGTCTTTGCTCCGATGGCTGGAAGGACATATGGATAACAAATCTAAATTCCTTTACAACCTCTCATTTGTTTCCCCGAACACCATGAATGGCAGTGGGTGCAACTGAGGACTCTGGCAGAGGCTACTCCCCAGTGTGTCCCAAAGGCTCTACTACCTGCTGCACCTTAGTAGCTGTTGCCTAAGCAGGTGGGGGTTCTTCTGTCCTTAATCTTTTTTGTGCCAAGGATAAGGCCAATGAAAACTGTGAACGGAGGTCAGGTATTTAGCAGATTTTCCAGCAGGTTAGGAAGGGATTCCTGGGCATGTTTTTCCCACTGCTTTTTTCTCCCATCCTTCAGCTCCTCTCTCCATCTATGCCACTGCTTACAAAGTATTGGGCAGGTCATCATCTTTCCATTTCTGAAAGTTGTGTTTGAAACTGTTTACCTAAGATTGGGACTCAAACCCACATGGCAGGGACTCTGTGCTATGCTTAGTCACTCAGTCATATCCGACTGGGACTTCAGTTCAGTTCAGTTCAGTCGCTCAGTCATGTCCAACTCTTTGCGACCCCATGAATCACAGCACGCCAGGCCCCCCGTCCATCACCAACTCCCGGAGTTTACTCACTCATGCCCATCGAGTTGGTGATGCCATCCAGCCATCTCACCCTCTGTCGTCCCCTTCTCCTCCTGCCCCCAATCCCTCCCAGCATCAGGGTCATTTCCAATGAGTCAACTCTTCACATGAGGTGGCCAAAGTACTGGAGTTTCAGCTTCAGCATCAGTCCTTCCAATGAATATCCATGACTGGGACTTAAGTTCAACCAAAACCCAGGGTGCCTGGTTTCAGGACCTAATGAAGCTCAGGCTCTTGATGTCTCATTGCAAAAAATTCAGAGAGAGACATAGCAATAGGTAAGAGGTAGATTTGTTTGGATTAGAGAGGTGCACAGTCCAGAGTGTGTGTGATTTCTTACGCTGAAGAGGGAGGATCATTCCAACAATTGGAGAACCACCCACTCCTTGGTCTCTTGATTGTGCCTTGTAACTGTCCTGGTGCCTTGGGTGTGTCATTAAGCTTGCAGATTGAGAATCAAGGTTTAGTTAAATTTGACTTGTCTTGGACCCATTTAATTTTAATCGGTTTCTGTTATGCCCTTGGGCTACCTCATTCTTTCAAAGTTGTACCCTGCCCCCTTCAATCCTGTTTCTTGCTCTTTTCCTGAGCCCTGTCTGCGCCCACAATGTTGTTTCTACTACCTTCTGGAGAGACAACCAGAAAATAGCTGGCCCTCGGGAGGGAAATACTATATAATATCTAATCCCTGTAGATAGTCAGGCCTTCATCTTCCATGTTTCCTACAAAATGTGCAACAGCAGCATCTCTCAGTGAACCTGCTAGGGCAGGTGACAGGCACACAATGACAGCTAGAAGTCCATCTGTTGGTGGTATCCCTTCAAGGGCAACTGGACTTCCAGGGATAGTGTTTGCCACTTTGGGAGTTAGCCCTGCAGGCCATTTGGGCCCAAATCCTTACCACCCTTGTCCTAAAGTTACAAACATAACCCCAGATCAAATCTACACTCCACTTTTAAGTAACATCTAGTCTATTGCCTCTTATCAATTTGTTCTTAAACTACTTACTAACTCCTACAGCCAGGACTCTGCCCCCTTGTAGGCAACATAGCTCTACCCCACTTATTATTAAAATACTATTAATGCCCCTAACAGGTCAAGATAATTCACTCCTTTGTCATTACTTCTTTAATTACCTAAAGTAAGTCTATGACAATGAATGTTTACCATTGGAAACACCCTAAACAGCTCTATGGAGGACTGAAGGAAGAAATCAGGGACTTACATTCCCTCAGAGCAATAAGAGGATAAGGCTGATGGCTGTTTCACCAGGTTCCCAGTTTCAGGGCACAGGCGTGGATTGCTTTACATCATGATATCTATTCCTATCTGTGGTGGACAAACCAGCAATGAGTTAAGATTACAACCCCTTAATCCTACCCAGCACTGGTCACGCTGGAGACCTTGGGGATGCCCAACCCCAGCTAGGTGTCCCATGAGGTTGACCTACCTCGACCTGCCTACTAGGGATTTGGTCCTTGGGAGGTTGTCACGCCTCAACCTGCTTAGGGATCCACCAGTTCAGGGGTCCCAGGAGGTCGACACGTCTTGAACTGCCCAGGGACCAAATTCTCGGGAGGCCAACCTGACTTGACCTGCCCAGGAATTCAATCTCCTGGAGTCTGTTACGATTCAGCCTGCAGGGGATCTGCACCCTGACCTGGGGACACCCAGGCTGCAAC